TCTGCGCGCGCAGTCTCGTTATTTAATAGCCGGACCTTATACACTCATTCTAAAAAAAAGCGTTACACTAAAAATGTTGAAAAAAATATCTAAATTTCGAATGTCGAATACTTCGTCTATAAAGAAGATAAAATGTTTTACAAATAAGAAAATGAAACTTGGAAATTTCTACTTTAAGAGTCGATTCATGTCAATTTTGCAAAATAAATTTATTATTAATTACGGATAATAAAGTGAGAAAATGTATAATTCAAGAAAAATGGTCCGAGTGTGCAATGGTGCAAAGCGTAAAAAAAATTTTAAGCTCAATTTGAAAAGATGATATAAAGATACAGAATTTTCTATTTAATATGTTTTTATGCATCTCAGTACGACAATTTTTTGCGGAGTTATTCGCATTTCAAATATGAAAGTGCATTTTCTTCAAATTAGTGTATTCGGCGAAATTTTATCGCCAGGTTTGTACACACTCGCCCAGGCCGGACGCAACGACTCGATTCGACAGAAACGATTCGTGCGCGGGAAAAGAAAGGATCGATTGAATTAACACGATATGACGGGTAATTGAGCGAACGCTCTCTCTCCCCTTCCGGCGAAACGCGCTCGGTTATGTCGTATTAATTCAAGTAATCTATTCTTCCGGAAACGAAGTATCGTCGTGACACGGGTATATCTGGTTGAGGGTGATTTCTGATTAGACGGGAAGAGAAAGTGCTAGATTTGAGGAAATATTCGCTCGAGGAGGATCAGAATAATTATTTCGCTTGGGTTAAGTAAATATTGTTTGAATGCGGTATATTGAAAGAAAAAAAGTTCTACGTCCGAGTAAGATGTACTTAATTCAAGTAAAATCATTACTTCGACCAATTTCCCGATTAGATTTCATCGGATAAAAGTTTATCGGACGCTTTATCGGATAAAAATATCTATCGTTTGATCGGACGATAAAAATAACAATTTAATCGGCTTATTCGATCGGAATTTTTCTCAGTGTAGATTTCCTAGTTGGAATTCATAATTATTTCGGTATATCCTATCTCCATATTAAATCCCCCCAAATTTTCTATACAAGCGGGGAATCCAGGTTAAAGAAGGCACATAATTGATTTTTTCTTATGGTCAAACGAGCTTCGGTCGACATCGAGCCTGTTTCACGTGTGAGATTACCGAGTTCGCTTGCCAGCGTTTCGCCGGAACCAGCGCTGCGTAAGAAATATGAAAGCGAACCGCGGTGTACGAATCTACGCTTGTTATGGAGCGTCCAATATCCTCCGTCACGGGAACCCGATATCGCGAAAAATTCAACGAGCGATTGACAGCGGTTGGTATCTCGAAGAAAGTGGCATCGAACGACTCGAATCTAGGATCCGCGTTGTGAACAAATAAACGCATTTTCCCCTCTTGAAAGCAATATCGACTCGCGAGGCGCTTCCGAACTCACGACGTGTTGCATTGGTGAGTACAAAGCTGCCGGCGACGTAATTAGAAATTACGTCGTAATTAAAAAAACCAAATGCGGTCCGGACTGTTTTTTGGGAAAGGAAGGTTTCTCTCATTCTCAGTCTCCCAGACTGAGAGTTCGGGTTGTAAAACGACACACGGGCAAAGGAAGAAAGAGAGAGAGAGAGAAAGAAAGAAACGTCTAGCGCGCCAATTCCCAGTGCGTCACATTTTTAATTAAACAGCGTCGTCGTCTGACGCGACAGTCTCGCGAGATAACGAGCCCGCTTGATTCGCGTGTCGTCTCCGCCGCCTTCACCCAATTCATCAGGAATTCCCCGATCCCACCGGAATTTCGAAGTTTCCTCGCAGATAGCATCGCGAGAGTTAGTAATAGATTGATCGAACGATTTATTTAGCGACAAGTCTCGTTTTTGCCTGTTCTCTCCAAATTGAGTTTAAAGAACGCTTTACAGATTGCACGGTTAGTGAATGACATAAGCGCAACAGAGGCTCTGTCATGGTTTGAATAGGAATATCTGGGAATGCTTATATAGTTTTACACATTTTCGAGCACAGTATGAATGCAAATATATTCTTAGAATATATATTCATATCGTATGTTGTTCCGTATGCGCCCTTCATCGGAGAAGATATTCATGCAAGATAAAACGCGACCACACGTTGAAAGAACTTGATTTCTGCAGGGAAACTGACATAAATTTACTACAATGACAAGCAATGAGTCCAGATATAAATCTGATTAAAAATCTTTGGGACAACCTTGGCAGAAAAGTACGCAATCATATACTTACTTTATAATGATTACAAGAATTACGAACAGTTCTTGAAATGGAGTGAAACATTACGCAGGATAAAATTCGGACACTCATTAGGAGTATGCAACAACGCATGGAGGAGATAATCTGTTCAAGAGATACCACAAAATAGTCTCACATCTCATCCACACGTTACACACATACACGCGTGCGCGCGCGCATATATGCATACACATGCATACGGGATTAGATTTTTGCCACATCAACGCCGTTGACCTTGGGTAACGCCAAGAGCAAGATCGATATTCACATTCACAAGGAAAATTTGAAATATTAAATATCACGAAGCTGATAAACCACGAAATTTTTATTTCTGCAATTTAGACTGATTCAAAATTCAAAATTGAATATCTCGGTAATACAGCTAATTGGATTTTATTGGGTGAGTGCAAAAGGAGATGCAATAGATGGAGTTAGAAGCGGCGTAAAGTTTTGTCATTAATACCGCCATCTCCGTAAGACATATCGTTGGAAAGGTGACGTGTGCAGCGTTCATGTCAAACAAAAGAATTTGTGTAGACATGAACTGCTTCGAGAAAGATTACTTTCAAAATGAGTGTCGAAAAGGTGCATTTACGGCATGTTATGCTTTACGAGTTTCGGAAAAGAATAAACGTTGCAGCAGCTGTAAAAAACATTCAAGAGGTTTATCAAGATCAAGCACCAGCTAAACGAACTGTGGAAAAATGGTTTGCGAAATTTCGCCGCAAACAGTTTAACCTTGAAGACAAACCACGCTCAGGTCGACCTTCAGACATTGATGACGATGTTGTGCGAACTTTAGTTCAGAATACTCCGCGAATTTCAACAGAGGAAGTTGCTACAGCACTTAACGTTGACCGATCAACCGCTTTTCGGCGTTTAAAAAAAATCGGTTTCGATTTGAAGCTCGATGTATGGGTGCCCCATTTGATGACGGAGAGGAACAAAATCCAGCGAGTTTCTGCTGCCGTTTCTTTACTCGGGCGGCTCAAAAACGAGCCGTTTTTGGATCGATTAGTGACGGGCGATGAGAAATGGGTCCTGTACAACAATGTTCAGCGCAAACGCACATGGAAACAGGCAGGTGAGCATGGTGAAGCAATGGCAAAGGCCGGTTTACACCCGATGAAGGTGATGCTCTGTGTTTGGTGGGATTGCAAGGGCATAATTTATTTTGAGTTTCTCCCCGCTGGTCAAACGATTGATTCGGACAAGTACTGTCGCCAATTAACCAATCTGAATCGAGAAATCAAACAGAAACGTCCGATTTTGTCAAATCGCAAGGGCGTAGTCTTTCACCACGACAACGCAAGACCACACGTTTCGAGACAGACGCTGCGCAAACTGAACAGCCTGCAATGGGATGTCCTAACTCATCCACCGTATTCTCCTGATATCGCACCTTCTGATTATCACTTGTTCCGGTCATTGCAAAATCATTTAAATGGAAAAAAAATTGACTCTTTGGATGCCTTAAAAAACGTCGTGTCTTCGTTCTTCGAATCTAAACCGCGCAGTTTTTATGATCGGAGCATCTGTATGCTGCCAGAACGTTGGAAAAAGATTATAGACAACGATGGAGAATATATGATTGATTGAATAAAGAACTTTGTTTGCCTAATCACTGTCTGACTTTTACTCACAAACTCCGCATACACTTTTGCACTCACCCAATAGAAAAATTATTTTAAGCATTCGAATATTTAGTTTTTGAAAATTTGAAATACAATAATGGGCAACAGTTTTTTGCAATTGTCGAATTGGTAAAAACACATTGCGGGAGTCAAATGTCGCAACTTAATGGGATAAAAAGCATGTTAAAGTGCATAGGTTCCTTTTTATAATGTTTTTTTCATTCACCACGATGCGATAATTTTTCGCCGAAATACTCCTATTTGAAGAAAAAAACAGTTTCCTGCTTTAAATGCAAATATCTCTGCTAAAAAAAGTCATACTGAGATGAATAAAAACATTTTAAAGAGGAAATTCTGAACCTTTATGACGTTTTTTTCAAAGATTCAGCAAAAAATTTTTGTTTACAACGTGCACTATAACAAACTCGGACAATTTTTCTTCAATTACACATGCTGTCGCTTTGTAATCCACCATTTTTAATAAAAATATCTTGCAGAATTGACACGTATCGATTTTTAGATATGAGATTCCAAGGTTTGTTTTTTTTCTTGAGAAAAACTTTTAACCTTCATTACTGGCGAAGTTTTCGTTATTTGAAATTTGGAAATTTTTTTCCACATTTTTAATGTATTGATATTTTGGGAAATTAGTATATATTATTTCTGCGTTATTTTTTTAATTTTATAAAAAATTTAAGTTTCTACTTCTAATAAATTCCTATTCGGAAAGGATGATGAGCGCAAATATGTCGGAATTTAACGTTTATTTTTGACTTTTTGTGTATATGTTTTTATTTATATTTATATTTTTATTTTTATTTTTATACGCAAAAAATGTATGTAAATTTGTAATTTAATAGTGTCCAATGTTTCTTATATTTTGTAAAATGAAAAACAAAAACAAAAATATAGTTTTCTGACAGATTTAGAATGGGCTATATTTCTAAATCGGCTCATGTTGAAACTTGTGGGTTTATGGCCGTTAGATTACCGAGATATGCAAGAGATCGTAGGCTCAAAACTTCGGCTGCTGTACACATTTACCATGTAGCTCTGCGTACTGACGATACCATTTTTATTATCACTGATAAGAGTATGGGGTGATATGGGATTAATAATAGATAATTTACAATATAGTTTAACTGTATTGATGACGTTATATAAAATCTACATCATATGGTACAAACAAGAAGGTATGTTTAATTCAAATTGAATGAAAAAGATATTATATTAATATATTTTCTTGTTAGTATGGAATTTTATTTTTTATTGTAGTTATACCTATAGTATTTATCTGCCGGTGAATTACGTCACTATATGTCAAACGTTTTAGTTTTTTATACAATTAATGAAACGCGCAAAAATATGTGGATATTAAAGTATTAATGTGTCACTCCTTCTTATAGTTTTAGCATCTCTAATTGATATGATTAAAAACGATTGGATAAAAGTAAAAATGAAAGAAGAGCGAGATGTTATGATAACGTACGCCACTATCACTCGCAAGATCGCTATATGCGGAGTGTTTATGATCATTTGTTCTTTATTAATTGCTTTCGTCTTTCCATGCTTCGGACTTACAGCCAGACAAGTAACGAACTTAACCGACCCTGGAAAACCCTTGCCGTTGCAAACGTATTACTTGCACGATGTTTCCAAAAGTCCGCAGTTCGAGTTAACGTTTCTGGCGCAAGGAATGGGGTTGATTACAACAGGTATTGCTTATTCTGCAGTCGACAATTTCCTAGGTCTATTGGTTATACATGTATGCGGTCAACTGGAAAATCTACGTTTGCGATTGGCACATATGGAAAACCATCCGAATTTCGATGCTGCTTTGAAATATAACGTGCAGGATCACATACGTTTAATTAGGTACCTAAGATAGATTGTTAAGATAAGCTGAATGGAATTAAATTATTTTCTAATAGAAATAATTGTAGTACTTAAATATAAAAAATTATGTTATCATATATGATTGATTATATTTAAGATAACTTTATTTTAACTTGAATTACTTTTTTTGGTTTTCGCACTAATTCCTGCAAATCTCTTATTGTTAATGTTATTTCTCTCACTTTTTTATACGGTTGAAACTTATTGGGTTGATGCATAATTATCCGCCATTTACATTTTGGCTATTTATTACTAATAAATTTTGGCGTTTGTTTATTTTTTAATAAAAATTATTCTTCTATTCTTACTTAATAGAAATGGGTGTCGAAAATTATATTCACCTGCGCCATATTATGCTCTATCACTTCAGGAAAGGATGGACCGCAGCACAACCTTCCGCAATCTAACGATCTTTTTGGCGGAGGAACAACACGGCTGCTAAAAGTGCCTGATCGTCGAAATCCGATGGCCGTCCTCTTCCTGACTTGTTTTCCATGCTCATGTCGCCTAGTTTGAAACGAGAGAACCACTCCCGTTATTGCCACTCACTGATTGTTCCTTCGCCAATAAGATCGTTGAGATTGCGAAATGACTGTGCTGTAGCCCATCCACCCTCAAAGTGATACAGTATAATATGGCGCAGGTGAATATAATTTTCGACACCCATTTCTATTAAATAAGTATAGAAGAATGATTTTTATTAAAAAAGTAAACAAACGCCAATAGTCATAAGTAATAAATACGTAGAAAGTAAACGGCGCCTAATTATGCATCAAACCAATATATTATTTTCTTAATGGCTGTTGCCATTACAGATCCATTCAAATCATCGACGATACTTTCGATTTAATGCTGCTTCTACTGATACTATTCTTTAGCGTGTTGTTTTGCTTACAAGGATTTCTCGTAGTTAATGTAAGCTATGTATATTTGAGCGTGATATGGCATGGTTAAGGGAGTATTATCGTTTCGAGGGATAGGATAAATATTATTTTTAATTTTTTTCGAAGACTATGCAGGCGATTCATTTTAAATTTTGTTCACGTATAATATTGTTACGCTCGCGCGGGGAAATAAAACGAGGCAACGTTAAAAAGAAAACAACTTCAACTATATTGACTATTTATAAGGAAGCACACGTAACTTGCAGGCTCAAGCTCTCTCTTTCGTTAAAGACCGTCACGCACGTCACGACGACTCAACCGCCCCAAAGAGAATCTCTCTAACCCGTTGTTTATCCGCCAACGCTGATTATCTGTTGTTTACGACTCGTTGCCAAGAGAATCAGCTGTATGTTTAGGGTGCTAAAAGCGCGGGCATCAAGACACGGGCGTAACAATATATATTTTATCTGTAATTAATATATATCTGTAGTAATTTTTGGAAGTAAAAATATTAAGAGTTATGTTTTCACGCGACATATCCGAGTGCAAATAATTTTATGGCTTCCATTTTGGTACTTAATAATCTAAGACAAAAGCTGAACAATATTATGCATTTAGATGTTCAGTCATTATTGAAAATTAGAATTATTAGTGTCTCACGCAAATCGTATCACCCGCTATATACTTACAGTGTGGATCAATGTAAACGAAATAATCTTGTACCATTTTGCAAACAATACGCGAACCTTCAAATTATTTATTATTAAAAATGGACATGTATAAAGGATTAGTTAAATAATAATTAAAAAATTGGCACCTTATTTTCAAAATAGTGAGAGTCATTTTTGTTCAGAGTGGCCTGTTCTTCCAATATATGATAATTGTTATAATTAGCGATGTTCAAAGTTCAAGGTTCAAAGTTCAATACAATGGTATCTGTCACTATGTGTAACAACTGCCACTTGTTTTAGATTAGGCTACTGTGAACAAAAAAGTTCTGTAGCATTTTAAAAATAACATGTAAATTTTTGAGTTATTAATTAAAAACGCTTCTATATATAGATATTTTCAATAATTAATATCAGGAAATTACACATGATTTGCAAAATAGAGAACTTTACGTTCACATGGACATAAAACAATAATCGTTTCGAGAGCTAGGATATATATTATTTTTAATTTTTTCGAAGACTATGCATATGATGTGACTATGCATGTATATGACAAATGGCACGATTTGCATCAAATACACTGTATTAAATTAATTATTATTTCAATATTTTAAGTCGTCTAAAAATTGAATTTATGAAGTCGCCATAAAAATTAACAACTTTGCATTAGAAATAAAATAAAAAAATCCATATACTTTATATATTCGTATATATTCTTTACATATATTAGTAATACAAATAAGTTTCCGCCGTTTTCAAAAGATGGCTCCACCGACAAGATTACTTTGAAATCGTCAGATGCAAAACATCATATAGAAAGTTTGGACACCTGGCAACAACATAACCTTAAAATATTATTGACTTTTTAGTATTGGCAGTGTACATTTTTATCGTTCGAAAATGTCGAGTTTTGTACCGAATAAGCGTCATTTGCGGGAAGTTTTGATTTATTTCTTTCATTTAAAGAAATCTGCTGCTGAGGCGCATCGATCGCTTGTAGAAGTTTGATGCTGCTTTAAGTGAGAGAAGTTGTCGTGAGTGATTTCAAAAGTTTAAAAACAGCGAGTTTGACGTGGTCAAGAACCTCGATAAAGAACGCGAAAGAAGGCCAGTAAAGTTTGAAGACGCTGAGTTAGAGGCATTATTGGACCAAAACTCATGCCAAACTCAATAGCAGCTCGCAGAAAACTGGGGAATGACTCAAGAAGCAATTTCAAACAGTCTCAAGACCATTGGTATGGTACAAAAGGAAGGAAATTGGGTTCCGCATGAACTCAAACCCAGAGACGTCGAACGCCGTCTTTTCACGTGCGAACAACTTCTCCAAAGACAAAATCGGAAGGGTTTTTGCATCGAATAGTGACGGGGGATGAAAAGTGGATCCACTACGACAACCCAAAGCGTAGGAAATCGTGGGGTAAGCCCATGCACTAACTTCAACGGCCAAACCGAACATTCATGGCAAGAAGCTAATGTTGTGCATCTGGTGGGATCAGCTCGGAGTAATCTATTACGAGCTACTCAAGCCTAACGAAACTATCACTGGAGAACGTTATCAACAGCAACTGATGCAATTAAGCCAAGAATAGAAGCTTAAACGCCCCCAATATGCCAAAAGACATGACAAAGTGATTTTTCAGCACGACAACGCT